TCGGCTCGAGTCATGATCTCACAGCTTGTGGGTTCAAGTCCCGCATCGGGCTCTGTGCTGACAGCTAGCTCAGAGCCTGGAGCCTGTTTCAGATTCTGTGTCTCCCTCTCTCTCTGACCCTCCCCTGCTCACACTCGTTCTGTCTCTCTCTCTCTCTCTCTCTCAGAAGTAAATAAAACCTTAAAAAATTAAAAAAAAATGGCTATAACAAAGAAGACTAACAATTCAAGTATTGACAAGGATGTAGAGAAATTGGAATTCTTTTACATTGTTGGTAGCAACATAAAATAGTGCAGCTGCTTTCAAATCCAGTTTGATAGTCCTAAAAAAATGTAAACATACAGCTACCACATGACTCAGCAATTTCATTCAGAGGTTTATACTCAAGAGAACTGAAAACATATGTCTACTCAAAAAATTATACATAAATGTTAATAGCAGCTTTATATATAATAGCTTAAATATTGGAAACAATCCAAAGGTCCACTTAAATGATGGTCAGATAAACAAAAATGTGGTATATGCATACAAAGGAGTATTATCATGGATGAACCTTGAAAGTATCATGCTAAATTATAAAACCAGACATAAATAATCCATATATCATATGATTCCATTTATATGAAATTTTCAGAAGGGGCAAATCCATTGAGAAAAAGTAGATTAGTGGTTACTAGGAACTGAGTTTTAAAGAGAATAGGGAAATGACTGCTAGTGGGTAGTAGGTTTCTTTTTTGGGGTGATCAAAATGTTCTCAAATTACAAAGAAGTGATAATTGCACAATTTTGTGAAAGCCACTAAATTGCATACCTTGCAAGATGAATTGTATATGGTATGTGAATTATATATTCATCTTAAAAAGTAGGCAATCACCAACAAAAACAAAGCAAAACAACAAAGACTAAATTATGATACATGTGCCCTTATGGATTCAATTTATTCTTGATAATGTCAACTTCCACCTGATAATACAATGTCTAAGCATTTTTTTTCCCTTGGGCTATACATTCATTTTCTGGATTTTTACTTCCAAATTCCAACTTCACTAGTTCTAGTGTGACCAACCATTCCAATTTTCCCAGGACTGGGGGTTAAGTTTTGGAGATTCCCAAGACATGAGATTTTCAGTATTAAAGCATGGATAGTTCCAGGAAAACTGGGACAAGTTTGTTCTTGCATGATCTTTCATAATTTACTTATTTGCTCTACTCTTTGTTGCAGTACAGTTGATACCCTCTACACTGCCATTTACAGTCTTTCCTTCTAACTCTATACTTTGTCTCCATGCTATTTCATTTGTCCTAATGGTTTTTATTATAAAGTAATTGCTCCCAAATTAGTATATCTAATCTAACCCTCTCCTGAGTTTGAGATATGAATAGCCAACTGTCTTCCGGATGTTTTAACTGGAAAGATCTTTGGCCACTAATACATAGGTCTAATGCTAAATCTAAACTTGTTTTCATGCCTAAATTAATTCTCTTCTTGATTTTATCACATTCACCTAATCTCTTAAGCTAAAGTGAGTTATCTCTTCTCATCTTTGCTTTATTACTACATCTAATGAATCACTATACTCTAATTATACTACCTGTATAATTTCTTCAAATCTGCCCTACCTCCTACCCCTCCTACCTATTCCTGCTAACATCTAGGACTGATATTGATGTATAGACAAGAGTTTCTCAGACTTTTTAAATCAAAATCACTTTGAAAAACTCAAAAACCCATAATGGTGTGTCAAATTTCAAAATACAGTATTAAAAATAAAACCTAAGAGAAGGCACAATTAAGTATTTACTTTTCCCAAGTTAGACAAATGTCCTGTTCTCTAGAGATTCTGATGCAGCACTTCCTACCTCCTTTCTTTCTTCTCTTTAACACACAAAACCCACACTCATTCCTACACACATGAACTCCTATCCACCCACACAACCATACATCATACAAATACACATACACACATGTGCTCAGGTTCTAGTATTGAGCACATGGTTTAAATTACCCCAGCACAACCTGGTGTTTTGGGCCTCTGGGCAACTGTTCTCTCCATCTGGAAAACTATTTCAAAACTGCCTACCTACTGAACTATTCATCTTTCAAAATTTATATTAACTCTTGCTCTTAAATCCTTCCTTGACCACAAGAACCCCAAACAGAATATAACACTTTTTAACATATTGCACTTATAATGTAGTATTAAAATTTACTTGATTATGTAACTGCCACCTCCAACTTGAGAAAAAAACCCTTAATAAGAGACAGGAATTCTGTCTCATTTATACTTATGATTGAGAAATAGCAAGCATAAGACTCAATTTGTTGAACTTCATTATTTTTGATATACTTATTACTTTGATTAAGTGATGACAACTTATGCAGCATATCTAAAATATGACTAAGTGACATTTTTACTGATAACTGAAAAAGAATATTTGGATAGTTTATACACACAGTTATCAAAAAATTTAAAGCATATTGATATGCATATCTATCAATCTAGACTTGCAAAATAGAATGTACCAAGTAACATAAGTATAGTCACCCTACTTCCTGTCTACCTACCACTCTCTCTTTTCCTACACAGTTAAGCATTTTGAAAAAGTCATATACAATCACCATTTCCTTTTCCTGACTTCTTATTTCCTTCTCACACCTATTGAAATAGAGTATTTCCACTCACTTATATATTAAAACTGCTATAACAAATGCCACCAATGACTTACTTTATATGGACAAATTCAAAGGATTCTTTTTTTTTTTTTTTAATCTTTGAAGGTATTAACTGATTTTCTGCTACTGGAGATTCCCGTTGAGCTCTACTACCTTAGCTTCTGGTTCTTCTACTTCTTTATTTCCCAGCTGAGTCATGGGATCCTTTTCCTTTACCCATTCATTATGCATTGATTTTACCTACGGCTCTCTATGCAATTTTCTTCTAACTATATGTATTTTGGTGATGTCATCTACTTTCCCAGTTAACTGAGTATTTCAAGTTCATACATACTCAACTATTTCTTGGACCTATACCCTAGAATAAAGCACAGGTACCACAAAATCATTATATCAAAATCCAGACTCCTCATTGCTTACCTACCTAGACCTACTTTGCTTCTTTAATTCCACTTTACAGTCAGTGGCCCTTAATTACCAAACAATTGATATGATAGTCCCTCTATACTCTTTCCTTACAAAACCACATTCAATTGACAATCAAGCACTGCCAATGTGATTCCTTACTCAGCTCTTGAAATGTTTCCTTCCCATACCTTCTGCTACTCCTATAGGTCAAGGCCTTATCATTATCTTTCTTTGGACTATTGTAACTGTCTGTTAATTGATTTGCTTTTTCCTAGTTTTGCCTACATCACATTCATCTTCCATTTTCTCCACTTCTGTCAAAGTAATACATAATTTATATACCCACACACATGCATATAATGCAAATCTGACTAAGCCAGTCTCCTAATTAAAACCCATTAGTGCATCCTTATAACTAAATATAGTGTTTATTAAGTTTTATATTTTTACCCAGATATCATACACAGAAATCTAAATTCATCCTACCTAGTATGCTTTCTTGGGTTTTTCTAATCTCTTATATTCCATTAAAATTAAAAATCATAATATAGAGTAAAATGTTCTGTAATGCCTAGAACATAAGGTAGGAGGTAGGGCTCATAAGCTTTCCATGAATTATGAAGGAAAGTTCTGTCATCAGGAAAATGGCTTTAAAGCAGGAACATTTATAGAAAAAAAAATATGGCAACATCATTAAGAGTACTTCTTCCAACTTTGTACTTTTTTCAATGTACAATTTCAAAATAAGTCATGTTTTACTACATTTAAATCAAAATTATTTTTATTCCTTGAAAAGTACTGATTAAATGTAGAAGGTGATATTCAAGTATACATATTGAGACAAAATCTATAATTGATCTATTGGGCCTCTTGAAATGTATTTACCAAAGTTTTATTTCCTAAAATACAAATAAATTTAAGTGATTTGTGAATGTAATATAAAAACTATAAGCATTTAAATGTTTAATTTTAGTTTTTGCCAATGTTAATAAAAATTTGTCATAGCAAAAGTAATAAACAAAGATTTATTTATATTCTTACTTTTTACAATTTTATCACTTTATTTTGGTTTACTTCAAAGACTTCTCAGCTAAAGAAATCTATAGAAAATCATTCTTAGAACACCTTTCTTAAAAGGCATTTGATAAAAACCTTGGAAGGAGACATTTCCCAGGAGTAACTACCTGGCTGTAACGGTTATGCAGAGAATTGCCATTGCTGAGACATGTTAAGGGAATGTTTAATTTTTCTTATCAAAAGCATAATTCTATTTAGAAGATTGAATAGATCCTGTTATTCTGCAGAATTTTAAAGTTATTGACATTTTGTCTCATCAAAATCCATATTCACAACTCAGAATTTACTTATTTGGTTTCTTCTCTACTTCCTGCTTCCCTTTTGTGTTTGCCATTTAACTCTTCACTGTTATCTATACTTGCATTTGCAATAATAAAAATAAAACTAGATAGGGTATCTGCTCTTCTAGATTGTCCACGCCCTTAAGTAATATGGTGAGGGTGGGTAGTGGACTACCTCTGCATTTCCTTTACTTACACGCTCCTTCCCTCTCTGCACCCTGCCTTCCACCTTCCATAAAATCCTGGGCTCCAGCTCACACACATTCCAAATCCAAAAGGTACAGAACTTCTGCCACCCTGGGATCCCTAAAAATGTGTCCTTTTCCTCTAATTAGTTTTATGCTTCCAATATGGCGTTAGAAATATTATTTAACAAAGGTACTTAATACAGAGCACATGTTTCCAGATAATTTTATCTGATTCAATAGTAGCCTTTTTATTGTACATACATGAGTAGTCAGAGTATCTACTCCCACATGCAATGTGAATTAATAAATCTGTAACCAGTGATCTGTGTAAGAGACGACATTTTCAGTCAATAAAACTAATGCCATACTCACGGTGTAGGTTGGTGGGGCTGGTTTTCAGCATTCCTTGGTGTTTTGCAGGCAGCAGGCTTCGCCATGTCCCTGACAACACACCTGGGGCGCATGATAGACAGCACAACGCACTATTAATTATAAAAAGGGTAGAATACATCTGGAAATTAAACACGGTACTGAAAATACAGTCTAACGGAAAATCTTTGTAAGCCCCTTTGATATTAACCTGGAGCCCTGGAAAAGCCCTTAGAGTTGGATATTTTTGACTCAGACTTTCAAGAGCTCAGTTATACCCAAATAAAATCTGTGCTAGCCTCCTTATTTGATTTTCCTTTTAGCACCAATAAAATGATTGTCAGCAATTTTTCCCATAGAAGAAATGCTACTGAAAGCTTTGGCCTCACCATGTGATGACATCTGAAAGCTTAAAAATATGAACAGCTGTTGTGTTGATATGTTAAAAGATGGGCAGGATTTTCTGTGGCTTTTGCTATTTTACTAAAAGATATGAACTCCTATTTCATGCTATTTCAAACCACACAAGTTTTTTCCTTTATCAAAAAAAGATCTAATAGGCTAATGACATTTTATATGTTCAAAATCCCCTTCAAGTTAAGAAAAGAGAAAGACTTAGAAGGAAATGTTCATAAGTAAAGTATTTTTGTGTGTGTTTGTATGTGTACAATAGAGAAAATACCTCCATAGTGTGAAAAATATATATATAAAAGGTCTTTGTGTCTTGATCCCTCCATTACAGTATATATAAATGCAGAGGACAGACAGTATAACAGAGCTCTAAAGGGCAGCAGAAGATGCTCTCACCCTTGTGTCAACAGGGCATACTGAACACTGAAGGGATTCACTGGCAGAAATTCCAAAACACCCCCATCTGAGGATGTGCTTGGATAGCTCAGATATCCCTTCACCTCAAAAGCTTTAAAAAATATTGCTTTGAATAGGGAATCCTTGGTTACAGAGCTGAGACCCCATATCTAAAACTTTGCTAAATGGAAAAGTCCCTCAGGAACCAGTATTCTCAAACTCAAATCTGGTTCTTAACAACTTCGATGGAGGTTTCCAGGAGGTTTGACTACACTACTAATTTTTAAGGCCAGACATGTTTTTCCAGAAGTGGATCATTGGTGGGTGAGGCAGAGGCAGATAAACTTTTCCCAGAGTTAAAAGCTGCATGGCAAAATTCTCCACTTCTGAAAGAAATGATACAGGGAAACGTGGACACAACGCACAGAAACGTGCACACACACATACTGCTCATTCCAAACAAGGTAGAGTAAGACTTAGAAATCAATATGTAACATGACAAGAAAAGAAAACGGTACTATTTGAAAGCCTCAATATACTTTCTTCCTAGGATAAAAGTAAAGAAATGTGGCATTTTTTGAGAACTAATGCTAAAACTCTTAATGGACTGGTCAAGAGAGGAGTCAAAAACATCTACAGGAACCACAAAGCCTTCTGTTCTTGTTCCAGTTTCATGGAAGAAGAAAGCCCCAGGGTTAAGGGAATCAGTGGTAACAGAATATTCAAAAAGGCACTTGTTAGGAAGAAATAATGTCCTGGGATTTCTGAGCTCTGAAATGTTAGTCTAACTTATACAAAGTAGGAAGTTTGTATACATACATAAAATGCTCAGGAAGTTACATTTCATCACACTGGAAAATCTTTAGAAATTCTCACTCAAGTAAAAATAGTACATTTAGCAAATTTAATCTACATGCAGTGGTTTGTTAAAATATCGGAAATATCACCAACTTTGGAAAAATTTTTGAAGAATTACATCTATGAGAAACCATATGCAACCTTCTATCTTAGTTCATTTCTTTTTTATCCCTAAAGCTTCAGGTATTTATACAAAGTTCTGAAATAAAATAAATCAGCCACTTTAATTACAGTTTTCATTACATATGCTTTAAGTAAATCTTTTATAATAAATGTGGACTACCAGCCAGCACTAACAGTAGGTTTCTAAGCAAAACTTTTTTTTTTTTAATCTGAGTGAAAGACCACATCTCTGTAAGAAAACTCTCATCTAATCTCAAGTATCCAGTGGTTTTGGTGTAAAAGCACAATACCTGACATACTGCTTCTGTCTGTACAATTATATAATCTTCCAAATAAAACCTTTATTTGAATTTCTGAACTTTAAATATCGAATAATGAAAACACATCAACACTCAAAACATTTAGTATTTACAACTGTATTGGATTTTGAATATACTTAATGCCCTTAAATTAATTTTTAAAAAGCAGGTAAACAACATATTTTTCATACTAACATGTATTCTGACCACAGGACTACAGTGATATAGCTGGCCACTGACTCTGTGTTTTCAGGGCGAAAAACTATTTGTTTCATATTACTAATTATTCAACGTATCTGATGGGGCTCTAAACTATCGTAATATATATTCCTATACCTATAATGCTTATTCATTTTTGAGAGACAGAGCTTTAGTAGCAGAGGAGCAGAGAGAGAGACACACACACACAGAATCTAAAGCAAGCTCCAGGCTCTGAGCTATCAGAGCCCCTATACTGTGATATTTTCTAATTTGGCATCTTTTTAGCAGAATTTTTTTCTAGATATAAGAAAAAAAGATTAAAAAAAAAACCCTATGCTCAGATACATTCATAAGATACATAAAAAATATGGGTGTCTGGGTGTCTCAGTTGGTTAAGTATCTGACATCAGTTTAGATCATGATCTCACAGTTTGTGGGTTCAAGCCCTGCACTGAGCTCTGTGCTGACCCCTTAGAGCCTGGAGCCTGCTTTAGATTCTTGTCTTCATCTCTCTTTGCTCCTCCCTCACTGTGTCTCTTTCTCTCAAAAATAAATATTAAAAAAATACATAAAGAAATATATGTTCATAAGATTTTTCGTAGCCTGTGTGGAGTGACATTTCTCTTTTTTGGATTAACACTTCTTTAAAATCATAATTGAAATTGTTGTGTCTGGCATATCACGGTTTGAAGGGGTAAACTGTTAATAGTTTTGACAGTTCTAATATGTAAAAATTGTTTAGTACCAGCACTTTGTATTATATCCTAGCCATTACACTTATAACAATACAGATCTCCTCATACTTTAAAAACACAATAAACACAATGGTATTTCAATATGTTGTAGCAATTAAGTATCTTCTTCTACATACGATTTATTCCTTCAGCCAGACATAAGGAGGCCACAAACACTGCCAAAGTGCTGACTTCCCAGAACTGTTATGGATCAAGAGACTAGGAGTTCAAGGGGTTTGACCTCTTATTCTTTGCAACTGTCTTTAATTCCTCAGGGATTTATCAGACATGGATTCTACACCATCTTCAAACTGCAAGTGAGCATTCCCTCATCACTCCAGCATCACTGCAGATTTATGCAAATGAGACATTCTGCAACCACCTCTGGAGAATGCTTCTCCTGACTCCGCCCTCAGCACTGCTGGGTTTTATGAATGACTGCAATCAATGCGATGAATGTCTGCCAACTGCCCACTCAACCACTTCTATTCTTCCCTGCACATACACACGGGAGAAACTCAAACTGGCACAAACCTGTCGATGAGGTTATGGTAAGACTTTCATCTCTCCAAACAGGAACTAAATGTGCTTTCAGATACTCAGAGTATGTGAGTTAAAAATCTTAAATGTCTTTAAAAAACATAATTTACATAATTACTTTCTCTATTTTGAGTTTCCATTTTGATTCCTATAATCTCTACTCACCCCCCCATCACCCACCTGCAAAAAAAAAAAAAAAGAAAGAAAGAAGAGAAAGCAAAGAAAAAGAAAAAAATACACACAAAAAACTATTTTATGAAACTTTATTTCAATTTGAACTTTATTTAAATTGTTTTATCTTTCATGGCTAATGTCAGGAAACTAGTTACTGTGCACTAAGCTGTCCAATAGATATGGCATTTTTACATTTCTGTTCTCAATTTCTTGATTTTTGAATTTTCCTGAGATTTGTCCAGTCATCAGTGGAGATAAGTACATTCAAAGTGTCTGGGGAAAAAGTGTATTTGTGCTTACTCCCTAAGTGTTTTTGTACTAGTCTGCATTTGTCATAAGAAATCTTAGAGGCACTTGAAATAACAGAAGATTGAGAAAATGAATTTTTTTAAATACATAATCTCTTGATTTGCAGATCACTAATTAAAATATATATAGAAACAAGGATTCTCCAGCAGCCATCTCCATCTTGGCTGATTGTAAATAGAGTTCTCTAGCAATTCAGGCGAAAAACTTTAGACTTTACTCTTCTTTTCTCTTAACACTTTGTGTCCAATCTATCAGATTGGTTCTAGTTTCAAAATACGTCCAGAGTCTGACCATTTTTTTACCTCCTCCATTATTGCCACCCTGTCTTGAGACATAATCACCATTTACTTACATTCCCACAAGACTTTTAACTGATTGCCTAGCATTTACCCTTGCCATTCTCCTATAGTTTATTCTCAACACAACAGCCAGAGTGACTCTGATCAAATGTCAGTTTTTAATGGTTCCTATTCTGATTATTTTACTTACCACTATAATCTGCTTTCCCACAGCCACCACATTCATATACATCCAATGCCCTTTGCTGGCTCTACTACTTACTAAAATTTACTGCCTCCTACTGCTGAAATAGGATTGCTCAAGAGAAAGGATCTGGCCTCTTCAGTTCACTGACATAGGCCAAGAACCTAGAATAGTGTCTGATGTAATAGTCACTCAACACACATTGGTTAAATGAATGAGTAACATGAAAAGGTCAAAAGCTGTGGGTTTCAAGCTTGACTAACTAATTTTAAGACTCTAAACTATAGTGATTTAGAATAGATTCTAGGTAACACTTTTTTGCAAGATTACAGCTTAAGATATTTATAGAATATAAATTGATTTATAGTCAATAAGTTTTGACTTGAATAGTTTCACTAAATGTGTTTTCATACAGTTTGACTAAGTTTCATTCTCTTTCTGAACAAGGAAAAAGGTATTTCTCACCTAGATAGATAACATATCTATTGGAAAAGATTCTTTAATGTCAAACCATTGCTTAAACCAGCAAGGTACCATTTAACATCTAGTGTAATGA